ACAAAAAACTACCTGCAAGAAAGGACAACTTAAAGGACAATTATATTGCTAGGGACAGATGGTATTTTTTCACTGTTGTGTTAAAGGAAAAATGAGAGATATTATTCATAGACCTTAAAGACATCAGCTGTTGCTGAGGATGGGATATCTAGATTGAAGAGACCAACTGAACTAGAAAACTATAAACAGACACTACTGGCAATAGAAAACTAGGCAGTTATAGAACCACTAGGCTGAGCTATACTAGAAGAATTATTAAAACAATGACATTTTAAAAGGCAGCCAGTATGGACTTAACCAAAATAGGTCTTGATTAACTTCATAGAATTGTTGGAAAAAGTAACAATGCGATTCACCTACGTAGATGACATAATGTGTCTAGATTTGTTTCAAGCTTTTAATAAGGTCCATTAGAAATTGATTCACAAATTAATCGCCACAGAAATACAAGTTAAAGGATACACGTTGATCAAGAACTTGTTAAACAGCCTCAATACAGTATGTAGAAGCAAATAAAAAGCACAGTGTATAGATAATGTGATGCAGTCGTAGTGGGGCTCCGTGATGGAGCCCATTGGTGTGACCTTGAGCCAAGATGGCCACCTGGTGTTTGGAAATTGCTGCTAAATGAGACACCACTGGGCTGATTGAGTCTGCAGTGTACAGAGGGAATGGGGAGAGAGAGGGCTCCACAGCCAGGGGTACCTGCTTGAGACAGATCGGGCTGGCCGACTCTTGAGGACCCTTGAAGCCTGGCCAGTGGTGTCAGAGAGGATCAGCGCTGACAGGGGAGGTGGGCGCCCGCAGCACAGGCACAGAGGGACACTGCCTGGCAGGGTAGACAGACAGGAGGCGTCTACAGGACTGGAGCTGCTGTCTCCAGGAGGCCAGGCTTGGGGCCACAGGCATCAGATCAACACAGAGGGAAGAGTCAGGAGAGCTCGGACAATCAAGAATAAGAGGGAGCACTAAAGTTCGGTGAAATGAAAGTGAACTCGGAGCCCAACAGAAGATACAACGCCCCCTCGCTTCATGTAAATGTTTATAGGGAAACAAAAAAAAGAAAGTTGAGGTTGGAAGAATGTGAGTAAAGAGACAGGGGAAGATATGAAGGAGGAAGGTGGAGCAACATAGTGCTGGTGGTGTAAGTTGAGGTTGCAAGCAATGTATATATTAATATACATGTATTATTTATGTATTTAATGTGAAGTAAAACTCCCTGGGCCCACATGGACTGTCCTCTGTCAGGTTAAAGGCTGTAGACACAGTGGTTATACTTACTGTATACTTTTAGGAGGAAATTCACTGTGATCGTCTTCTGTCCATCATTATTCTGTATATTATAATTCCCAGAGTCCTGTGTGTTCAGGTCTGTGATTTTAAAGAGCCCAGTCTGACTGTCCCAGGACACTCTCCCTTTGAATCTCTCCACAAAATCAGTAATGCCCTTTCCATCAGTCACTACTGCCATACTAACACTTTCATGTTTTAAAAAGCCTCTCTGTAACACTGCGGCTTCAAAAGTGACCGACTGTCCAACAGCACGAACCAGCTGCTTCCCCTCAGACTGGGCTGAGGATGGGTCCATCCCTGTGGAGGAGAGAGCAGACAGGTGACCTCAAAACAAGCTTAATACAGGAGAAAGAGAGAATATAGAGGAAAAGAAAAAGAAAAGAAAGACAATATGGTGGCGTAACTGTTAAGGTCTAGTCAGAAGTGTTTTTATATGGAGCCCCCAGCTTGTTTTAGAGGAGTCTTGTGTTACAGGATGGCACAGTGATTGAGGAGCACTCCAGCACCTTGCACCCCGGAGTGGCTCTTGACCAGGGGCTCCCAGCTGCACCCATCTCTCCCCCGGGTGCGGACACTCCAGATTCACCCCAAGTGTATTCAGAATCGGGGTGCAGCAGTCAGGGACACAGAGCAGAGCAGGGGTCTGGTTTCAATCTGGGCAGTCAATTACACAACCAAATTAAAGATTCCTTCATACCTTCTACTCAAATCATCCCCTTTCCCTATAAAACATCTTTGATCCTGGTTAAAAGTATGACAGTCGCCAATTTGATCCACTATGTAACGGAGATCTTGTTTGGGATCAAAGCTCCTTCATACGCGCTGCAGGAAGGAGGTTTGAGGGTGAAGATTTCGGCGAGACCCCTGACAAACCAAAGACCTGCAGAGAGGGACAAGTGATGGTGCTGTGACAGATCCCCACTGCTGATAGTGTGGCTCAGTTCAGTTTATTTGTCATCTGCACCAGCGCAATGAAATGCTTATTTGCATGTAGACTCCAATACAAAGACTGGAATCACCAAAACATAAACACAGAGCAGCAGCAGCAACAACAAGCTGAATCACATACAACTTTAAAAGAGCAAGTCAGACAAGCCGTGTGAGAAGAGAAAGAAAACACACTGATGGGAAGAGTAATGTAAGTGTAGCAATGTAAAGTAGATGGTTAAGTCAGTGGTTGGGGTAGAATTCAATAAATCTGAGCCTGTGGGAACAAACTGTCTCTGAATCTGGAGGTTTGTGCCTTTATACTCTTGAAACACTGACCAGAGAAAAAAGTGAGAAACCAGGCTGGTTGGTATCCTTGGCAATACTTCCAGCGAGTTGTAAAAACATCCACAATACAGGGATCACTCCTGGTACGGCCTTTCAGTTAGACAACAAGCTGCTGCCAAACCACACTAATACCACATGTGAGCACACTCTCAATAGAACACCTTTAAAATAGTTGAAGATAAACCACATGTTTTCAACTGTCTGAGGGAGAAAAGGCGCTGATGTGATTTCTTTGTAGCTCCAGTTACATAATGGGACCACATTACATTGTTAGTAATGAATGTACCCAGGAACTTGAAGCTGCTAACCATCTCTACAGCCACCCCATTGATGCAAATAGGGAGGTGGTCCACACCCTGCATTCTAAAATCAATGACCAGCTCTTTGGTTTTGCTGATGTTGAGGGCGATATCATTGTCAAGGCACCACTCCACCAGGTTCTGTTGTGGTTCCACCATCCGGCCACCAGAGGGCACCCCAACCTCTATCACCTGCTCTGACTGCGCAGCCCAGGCACAAACCAAGCAGACATCTGTAGCCAATCATTACTCGGCTAGTGTCCATAGCTAACCACACCTCCCCTCCTCCAGCCTACTTACACCCTGCTCATGGTTCAAACTGTGCTCAGTGATGTTGCCACTACCCTGAGTGCTAATTTGAGACTTTGCAATATTCTTCCCTGGTTCCTGTTTTGTCTGTCTCCTACTCTTGTTTACCCCCCTGTTCATTGTTCACTTTTCCTTTGTTCCCGAGTTTTGTCTGGTTGTAGCTTCCTGGACTGTTTTTTTGTTTCAGTTTGATGTTTTCAGACCTTGATCTTTTGTTGTCCTCCTGGACTGCTATCCTGGTTTTTGGATTTTGGCCTGTTTCTCAACTCTGACTTTTTGGGTCTTGCTCCTGGACCCTGATTCTTGATTTCACCTTCTGACTCTGGACTCCCCGCTCGCCTCAAGACCCTGGCCTTGGACTTCCCTCATTCACTGGTTTGGTTCTGTGCAACCTAGGATCCTGCACAGGGTCCATTCCCTGTTTTCTGGATAGTAGACGTATCTAACAACATATCTAACACGTTCTTGACCTCATCCCTGTAGGCTGTCTCTTTATTAGCAGTGACTCAGCCAATAATGGAAATGTCATCAGCATATTAGTAGACGAAGATTGAGCTGTGTCTGGCCACACAATCATACACAAAGCACTCAGCTGTCTGAAGCCTTAAAGGTTTTAACAAAAACCTCTAAAACACAATTATTCCACAAAATTACAAACTCTGTTATTAACAACTCTTAATGCTGTGTGAGCCTTTTTATTCTTTTACACATTACTGATTATTCCCCTGTGAGATTGTACATTCCAAACAATCAGAAACTGATTAACCTACAGCTGCTACAACCACATACAAGCATTCGAGTCTGAGAGTCTCTCTCATCAGAGTCTCTCAGCTCTTACTCCATGGCAGCAGAATAGATCTACAGCATCTCAGGTCACTCAGCAGACCCTTTCAGGACCAGCTCTGCTCCTCTGATGACACAGAGGTGTCTGAGTACCAACATCTACCCAGCCCGCAAGGGGAGACAGATCAGACAGCGAGAAAAAGGGACACAGTGTCCACACCATGAAGGACATAGTTGAAGCTCATTGACAGGGCAGAAGAAGGGGTCAAGACAGGGATTCACTTCACCCAGGAGGAATAGAAACACAAGGCAGGTTAGCAATGAAAGGAAGATATACACTGGGCTGACAGTGAGTTCTTCGATTAGTTCAGTGTGCAACACTCCCTTCAGCAGAAAGAGACGCAGTTCCTTCAGCCTGTCACTGTGGGACACTCCCTTAAGACTAAAGAGACTCAGTTCCCTCAGTCTGTCAGTGTTGGACACTGCCTTCAGACTAAATAGATTCTGTTCCTTCAGTCCTTCAGCCTGTCAGTGTGGGACACTCCCTTCAGACTCACTCACTGAGTACACAACAAGACTGCAAAGACACCTCAAGATTAACAGAGCCAGAGTGAAGGAGATCTGCAAGCCAAGAACTTTCCTGTGAAACCTCACAGCCCTCCAGATTGACATCCCTGACTTCCCCAGTTTCTCATGACTGTATGACTAAGAGGAAGATTGCTGGACATTACTTCCTGTAGGGGTTAGAGAATAAGGAATAGATAGAAATGGCTTTTTTTGTAGCATTAAAAACGCAGTGACCCTGGTCAGCAGAGCGTTCCCTTTCGTACCGATACTATACTAACAAGCCTGCAATAGGCTGCAACAGCTGAAACCTGAGCACAAGGAAGAGTCCTTCTTAACATTATTGATACTGCAACCTCAGGAATCCGATCGACAAACAAAACTAAGATGTTGGAAGAGAAAGATGTGAAGCGATCTCCTTCTGAGAATAACAGGGCAGAAGAACAGTAACAAGCCACAGGAAGCCGTTCAGTCTGTTTGTCCTACCAGAAATCCAAGCGACGTACAGCAGCCCTACATGAACAGATCTCATGGTGGCTCTGGTGCTGTAGTAACTGCCAGGAAGATGTCTCGTTTCCTGAAGACCAACGCTTCCTCTTTCTGCAAGATCCGGCCTCTCTCTCTTCTGTCACAATACCAGCACAGAGGCTGTGGAGAGTCAGAGCGATTAGACATTCCACAGCTTCAACAATTTGACAAACTCTTTCACTGCTGTCTGTTTTGCTGATGTCTGTTTTTTGTTTTTGTGTGAATAGGTGTGTTCAAGTGAATCCTTTTCATCACGACCTTGAGTGCTCAAACTGAACACTTTCAGGGGTGGAAGAAGTGTGATTGCGTTGACGTCTGTTTGTGGCCTGATCTCCCCCCCCCCTTCTCTCCCTCTGCCGTCTCTCTCCTCATCCCTCCCTGTTCATCAGCACCTTCCTCTGCAGCTAGAAGGGCAATGATTCAAATTCACATTCAAACAGCTTTACTGCAATGACCGGTGGATTACAGTGTAAAAGCCCTCTGCCTCTGTGAATGTCCCAACCTGTCTCCTGCCTATTCTGTGTTGCCAACCTCTCTGCCGAGCCGGGGTGCGGGCTGAGTCGCCACAACAAGAGAACTGCTCACAACAAGAGAGGAAGTCCGGAATAGAAGAGCAGGTTCCGCAGAGGGACAGAGATGTACATTTATTTTGATTCAAGAGCTCACCCTTTAATGCTGAAATTTGCATGGAAATCAGAACGTGTTTATTCATACAGTCTGTTACAAAGCTTTCTATTGATTGAAAATATGAGGCGCATCTTGTTCATCTTCAGTGTCCAGTGAGACTGTAATGGACACAAAGAAGGGAAAAGGAGCTGCTTCCCTGACCAGGAATTGAAACCGGGCAGCGCCGGTAAAAGCACCGAATCCTAACCACTAGACCACCAGAGAGACGGTCGTTACTCTCACTGTGTGTGAAGAGAAGACAGCGGTAACTGGGATTCGTGCCGGTGATCTTAATAGGGGACAGAGAGCGATCGACACGCTTTTACAGTCTGTGTAGCGACAGCAGCGACACTGAGAGCTGCTGTGTGTAAGAAAGAGAAAATAAGATCTGCTTGGAACTAAGATTTGTTTTGCATATTGAGACACGAAGATGTTTGAGGGATTATTTTTCCGTTGTTTGTTTTCATTTTCATATTTTAGGAAACAAGGATGATGGCTGACAGCGAGTCCGGGCGTGTCTGAGAGACCGATCCCCACGGAAAGTGACGCTTTATTTAATTTATTTAGCTGCCTCCCTAAATTCTTTCTCTTTTTTTTCTGAAGACCTGCTCTCCTGTTTCTGTAATTGAACCATATTTATACAACGAAGAATATGCATGGCAGCTGTTTATATCAAATACAAAACGACTGGCTTGTGTACTCATTTAACTAAACCGTCTGAAGGAAATCTCAAATCTAGGTAAGTAGCAGACAATAACGTGGCGAGCTCGTCAGTTTGCAAACTTAGAGTAGGTGAGTGAAAATAGTCTTTCTTAAACAAAAACTGCTCAATACGACACCCTTGGTGTGTTACTTTTGTACAGTCCTGAAAACTCTATGTATTATCTTCTCACCGTTCAAAAATGTTTAACTCGTCCTCCGCAGGTGTAGTAGCCTCCGTTGCTTATCGCTGCTTTTTTCATCGCTTTTTACAACGAACAGGAGGCGGGCACTTGTGCTCAGGTGAGATCAATTAGGTCAAAGATATTTTTTTCTAACGGGAGATCCGTGCTAAATACAGAAGCAGAATCGTCGAGTGACGAAAAAAATCAAATTGGTTGGACTTTTTTTTCCACAAGCAGAAAAGGGCACTTGGGCCAATAAGGACAAAGGGGCGGGGGCTCGGGCCACTGTAGCCCCCCTGCTCCGCACGTCCCTGCTGCTGGGAGCCGGACTGAGCTCATACTCGCTCCCTGTGCTGAAACAGACTTAGCGCTTCCCCGAGCACCGTCTAGAGCTGCTGGGTAGGGCTCTGTGTCCTACTGCTGCACATCATCCTATCGGTTCCATGGTGTAATGGTTAGCACTCTGGACTCTGAATCCAGCGATCCGAGTTCAAATCTCGGTGGGACCTTCCGTTTTCAGCTCGCTCTTACTACTTGGTGAGCGTTTTGTTAATCTTACATGTGTACTTCAAACTTTTCATGTATCGTTGGGTTATCAGCGATCGCTTCTTGAACTTAAGTACGAGATTTTCCTCCTTATTTCGGCTTTGTTTGCTTTATTACAGGTGTGTTTTTACGATACCAGAGTCAGATTCAGGTTCTGTGCTGGATGAAGGAAGCTCCTTCCCGCCTCTCTGATCTGCTCGCCCAATAAAGTCTGCTTTACTACTAAAAGAGAGAAGCAGAGCCTGGGAATGACAGCTTTATGCTGTTTTTGGAAGAAACCGGTTTTTCTTTGAATTGGAAATCAAGCGGAATTTCAACGTCTTGGAGAGGCACACATTTTTGGTTGTTGGTGAGTGAGACGTATCCCTGTCCAGCACTGCACTGCGCTGTCCTGGTCTGGGAGTAGGAAGTGGTCTATAAACACCAGCAACACTGGCAACACAGCAACTTATCTGACAATGCCATGGTGATTTTCTATTAGCTGAGAAACAAGCTTAAATTACATTTTTATCCATTTTTGAATTACAAAGCAATTCATTCAAACACCAGATGTGTTATAATACCACGTACCGATTTAGATTGATCTCGAACAGCACTGGAGAAACTAAATCAATAATGTTGTTTTACAACAGTTATTCTGCTAAGAAAAGTATTTTCAATGAGAGAAGGAAGGAACATACTACACACGCACTCCCTGGCGCTTCTACATTAAACTCCCAGCACGATACACGATACAGCAACAGGGAGCGCTGCGATTGGAGAAAACTATCAAGACTGAGAGCGGATGCTGTGATTGGATCATTCTTGGTGGCGATACGGGACTTGATTAGCTAAGGCTACTAACAATGAACAGAAGGGAATGTGCTAGTGAGCAGCCCGATGTGTTTAAAAGAAAGACGAGCCAGGCAGGAGTCGAACCTACAATCTTCTGATCCGTAGTCAGACGCGTTATCCATTGCGCCACTGGCCCCGCTGACAGAGCGGCACCGCACCACAGTGAGCTCCGCGCCGCTACTGGTACGGCATCGCCCCGCTCCAGCTTTTCTAACTTGGATACACGCGTTTTCTACATTTTATCTTTTAAAATAACATCTCCTTATATCTTTTACTGCTCCTGTCTATCAGCAAAGACTTTGACGAAAGACTAATTACGTGTCTGCTTGTGCCACGTTCAAATTCCGCTTGATTTCGACATCGAAGAAACACCGTTTTTTTCCCCAAAACATCATACAAGTGTCACAGCTTCCAGACTTTCGATGCCAGGGTTACACCCCTACTCTTCAAGAAAAGCCCTGGGGTTTTTTAATGACCACAGAGAGTCAGGTCCTCGGTTTTCTGTCTCATCCGAAAGGACGGCGCCTCTTGTACAGTATAGTGTCCCCATTAAAGTAAGAAAGGCGTTTCTGTTAAAATACACCAGATAATCTTTTTGCATGTGTTTGAATGTCAAGGACTGCTCCGTCAGCTTTGTAATTCAAAAATAAATGAAAATATAAGTAAAGCCTCTTTGTCGATATAAGGGTATTCTGCGTTATTAAACGTTAAGTGTTCAATTGACTTTATTATTTGGATTTGGTTTAATATTTAGAGTCCTTGTATTAAGTATGAAATTTGAATTTCCATGCTTGCTGCTTTACTGTTGACGCCTGTCGCTCCCGCACCTCAATCTGGGAGTCCGGGAGATTCACGTTTCCCCTCTGTATTCCCAATTTTAATACTTGGATGAATCGCAGAATTACCGTTTCTGCCTGCTTTTTATTTTCCGCGGCGTCATTGTTTCATCACCCTCAGTGTGTTACTCGGAAAGGAATACTTGTTAATTGCAACATACTCCTTTTTCCAAAACCTGCCGTCGAAATGCGATTGAAATGACCAGGAACCCCGCACGAATTTGGGCTGAATGTGTGAGAAAAGAGGTACTTTGTCGTCCCTTCGATAGCTCAGTTGGTAGAGCGGAGGACTGTAGTGGGAACCGCTGGGAATCCTTAGGTCGCTGGTTCGAATCCGGCTCGAAGGAAGGCGCTGTTTTATTGTTCTCTGGCTCTATCACAGGCTGATTGATCACAGGCTCTATAAAAGAACCGAAGAATTGAGTGTTTGTCGGGGATGTAGCTCAGTGGTAGAGCGTATGCTTTGCATGTATGAGGCCCCGGGTTCAATCCCCGGCATCTCCAGAAATGTTTTTGTCAAATATGAGATCTCCTCTTCCCACACTAGGTAAGACGCAGGTTGCGATCCAAGGAGCTTCAAACGCCCAGTCCGACAGTAACCGAACCGGAGTGAGCTCATACTCGCTCCCTGTGCTGAAACAGACTTAGCGCTTCCCCGAGCACCGTCTAGAGCAGCTGGATAGGGCTCTGCGTCCTACGGCTGCTGTCTGCCAGCAATGACTGACGAACCACTAATTGGAACAAGCAATAGGTTTATTCCATGCTGAAAAGAGAAGACAAAACACAGCGTTTCGGCCGTGGAGCCTTCTTCAGCAGTGAGAAAGACAGGGCAGTAAGCAAAGGTAATGTAGGAGAACAAAAGCCCGAAAAAGACTTAGGCTTGATCATTTCTCTTCATAAATCAATTGAGGTATTCGAATCGCATTTTTCCTTTTTCCATTACATTATGATGTCGGTCATAAACGTACGGTGAACCAGAAGTGCCAAACACAGAAACAAAAAAGAGTGCACAAACTAAAAATAGTACTCAGAGAAAAAATGGCAACACAAAAAATGAGTGCACAAACAAAAACAGTAACACAAAAAAGCGTCACGCGTGAAAAGTGTTCAAAATGGAAATAGGTTCTCATAATAATCTGTTGTCAGGGAAGAGGGCAGCGCTGAGGGGCGAGCGCGTGTTGAGCTCTTGATGAGACGTTTTTGTGAATTTTCTAAAATCTTAAAAACACCACGACAGTATAATGTTCTGTGGAGGGCGGCCTGGTGAAAACTATTCTTTTCCCCACATTGCGGGAAATACACAGGCTTTCTTCTTCATGAAAAATTTCTGGGAGCAATCCCGCAT